CGGCTGTAACTCACTCCACCAGCCAAGCTGCTGTGGGGGCCTGCGGCGCCGCGCTCCAAGACAAGAGGCTCTCAGCACCCTGTGAGCCGGGGAGACGGCTGTTTGGGGGTTACCTCCATCAAGCCTCGCTACCCAATCAGGGAAAGGATGAGACCAGAACCTGGGCTTGAGACGTGGGCCTGCCACTTCACTGGCGAGGAGACCTCGGGGCCCGCTTAACCTCTCTGGCCTCGTCCCTCATCTGCACGGCGGTGAGGTGAACACCGGTGCGACCTGTGCGGTCGCGGGACCGACGGGGGGAGGCGCTGCACCCAACACTCACCCTGCTGCTAAGGTTTTGCTCCGCTCCCCAAGTGATCTGAAGGACATTGGTTTTAGGATCAAGAGAATTCTCCAAGGGCAAAACTTGCTCATAGAGAAGGAAGGATTCTGGAGGGCGATGGAGAGGCTTGAAATGACAGAGTTCTGGGCACCCTCCCCTTCCTCCTTCTCCTCCCCACCAAGAGCAGCACTATCCCGGCTTTGCCTGGCACAATGAATCCCATTCTACACGGGCCAGGCTCAGGAGCTGAGGAGCGAGGTGGGGCAGAGCGGCTGGGAAGGGTAACAAAGATAAAAAGAATGAGGTCCCGGGTCTGGACTGGTCCTGGCAAAGTCGGAGCACTGGACACGAGTCTGGGCTCAGTGGTATGAATGAGCGCCGTAGCTGGGGCTTTCCACGGAACTCGTACCTAACCCCCGCCCCTCCCTCACTAGCACAGCCACAGGCCCAGTCTCGCCGGAGATAGGAGACGCTCAGCCCATTTTTGCCGAGCCCGCCAGTCACTTCGTAACTGAGTTGCAGACAAACTCAGATGGCAGCGGGGACCTGGGCCAAAGCGGCCCCGCAGGGGAGAGAAGGCGGCTGCGGGAGCCAGCAGCGATCCACAGGAGGGGAGCCAGCTTCCTGGCAGGCAGGGAGGCAGGCGGACAGGCGAGAAGCACATTTGTAGGTGAGCAGTCAAAGATGCCACGCCTGCATCTGTACCAGACATTACTAATCGATTACTATGCCACTCCCTGTGGAGCCCAAATAGACTCACAATCCTCCTGTAGAGGACTTAGGCAGCCATGACCCCTGGGCTCGCCTGGAACGGCAGAAGCCGCCTGCCATGCTGGTCTGGTCTGATCCTGTCATGGGTTCACTCCCTCAGCAGTTCCGCCGCTAGGACGGGGTGCAGAATGCAGTCTCTCGGGCTGGCACACTGCTGGTTCACGGGAAATCACCTGGCCTCCTTTCCAAGCTGACGATGGAGAGAAACGAGGCCGCAGGTACCCCAGTGTCTTGAGCAAGCGTGCTGGGTCTAGCCGGGCGGCGATGGCCCACACTAGCCATGAATGTCCCCAGTGGACACACTGGTGACCGGCAGGGTCGCGGAATCTAAAATTGTTTCCACAAGGCGAGTGGCTCAGGTTCAGAAAGTATCAGCTCACGAGCAAGCGCGCTCGGTGAGCTCCCAGGGCTGGGCTCCAGGGAGCCTTCGAGGGGGAGGGAGAGACAGGCAGACAGACAGACAGACAGAGAGGCAGGCAGGCAGACAGAGACAGAGGCAGGCACGCTGGCAGACAAGCAGGCAGGCAGACCCCGTTTCTCAGTTCTCTGAAAAGGATCTAGAAACACCTCCAGCAGTGTTTCTTTACCCTGAAGACAGTTTAAGATTAATATGAATATTTTGAATATTAATTTTAGATTCTTCATATCTTTTCCGAGTCACTATAGTACCAGGAAGTCTGTGCATGAACCTCCTAGATAAAAATAGATCCCAAGAAATAAAATAGGCTTACTAGGCCAGCCCTGTCACCTCCCTGGGTTTAAGTGGCCTAGATTTATGGAACCCAGTGTACAAACTGTTCAGAGGGGTAGAAAAGTTGGGTGATTTCTTTCTCCCCAGGCTCTGCTTATTTCCTCCTGGACAAAGAGCACTTTTGTGGCTGTCTCCCAAACCTAGAAAATTCTCCTTTCTTTGACCCCAGGAGCCTGGCCTGTCAAGACATCACAAACGCCTTCTTCAGCAGCCCTCACGGATTCCACTTACCCCTGGGGATGGGCGACTCATTACTCTCCATCTTTTGTAGCATGGGGTATTTGGTTCCAAACACTTCCAGCTTTTGTGATTATATATTCTTTCCCCAGTGTTAAGTTCTGGCAAAACTTCAGCACTTTACCATAACCAGGAAATCAACCTTGATACCACCTTTCAGGGAATTTAGACTTCCTGTGTATTGCACACTGTCCACATGTGCCTGTTTAGTTCTAGAGAGGGTTGGGGTGGGCACCCTGGGGACCAGCAGGACCTGCCCTCTCACGGAAACAGTCACCGGCCTCCCCGATCCCTGGCCACCAGTGTCTGTCACCTCCTGTCTTGTCATTTCAGGAGCGCTAGAGGAATCACACAGCTGTGACCTCCGGGAGCTAGGCCTGCTCCCTCGGCATCATGCTCTGGAGTTAACAGGTTGCTGTGTAATTCTGTGACTCTGCTCCTGTTCGCTACCTAGTGGTATTCCGCTGTACGGACACAGCAAAGGTGGTGCAGCTGTGTTCCCACCGAAAGACACCCGGCTGGTCTCCAACATGGCGGGATCATAACCTAGCTACGTGTGGGAACATCTGTGCGTAGGTCCTTCCTGTTCCTGCTCACACAGGCCTGCTGGTCATCCCTTCTACAATTCACTCAATCAGACAAGCCTGCTGGTCACCCCTTCTACGATTCACTCAATCAGACAAGCCTGCTGGTCACCCCTTCTACGATTCACTCAATCAGACAATACCACACAAGTGGTGCAGCCTTCCCAGACAATTTTAGGACATTCCGCCACATCAAACAGAAGCCTCCACCGCACTCTTCAACTCTCCCCTGGCCTCATGCCCCCACTCTATGCAGCCTCCCTGCCTCCCGGACTTGCCTGCCCACCATTTCATGCCAACGGCGGTACACAGCTAAAGCCTTCGCGCCTGGTGTCACACCGGGTAAGGTGTCACCAGGTAAAAGGGGACGTCTCAAGGTTCATTCACACTGTGGCTCATGTGCCCCACTCCTTTTGATAGCTGAATAATATTCCCCTCCGTGGATGTGCCACATTCGCCCCCGGCGGTGATGGGCTGGCATCCCAGCAGATCGCCTGGCACAGCGCCTGGCAAAACGGGCTCACGCACTGTGCACAGTGCTCATACAGACAGGGACCAGGAACCCTGGGTCTGAGGACCCGGGCTGACGGGGTGAGGGGCAGCAGACCCCGCAAAGACTCCAAGCTGGAGCTCGGGGTCATCCACGGCGGGCCCCACATGGGTTCAGGGTGCGCAGTGTGCCCCTCCTCACCTCTACTCCCCTCGGCCCCCCTACCCTGTGTGTGACTCAGGAGGATCCTGCCCAGAAAGGCACCAGGCTTGGCGGAGAGCCCAGCACAGTGGCATGAGTCTGAAAACAGACTGGGATTTTCACTCCACCTGGCAGGACGTGCCCCCCACACCTGGACCCCTCCTCCTCCGGGGGCCAGAGACCTATGCTGGCCACCGGCTTTGTCTGCCAGCCTGCCTGGAGCTCCCTCGGAAGGCTCACAGCGACCCCTGCTGTCCACCACTGAGAGCGGCCCCGGGAACAAAAGCAAGGGAGGGCTGCCAGGAGGGTTCACAAACTCCCAGAACAATGGCAGGGAGAAGGGGCACTGCACAGAATTCGGTTCCCTGCCTTGCGAAAAGGCAGAGAAAGCTCGAGATCAGATGGCGCGCTCCCTTTGGCTTTTGTTCCTCAGGATCGGCGTTGAGGAACGCCATCATTTGCCAGGACATCCCTTCCTGGGCGTCGGCGTCTGCCACCTCCTACATCGGACTCCTTTTAAGCAGAGGAAGCGGGTCTGAACAAGCAGACCCGCTTACCCACGCGGACAAGGGCCGGCGTGGGGTTCTGCCAACCTCGGCCGTGAACACCGCACACCTATGCCCGGCAGATGACAAACCAGGAGGGTAGAGAGCAAGGACAGAGCACTGGGTCCCTGCCCTGAGCCTCAGGCAAGAGGCAAGGGGCAAAGCTCCCACGGAGAGAATTCTTCCTCCTCTCCGTCTTGCTGCTGTGGCCCAGGGGAAGATGGTTTGGAGGCTCCCCCAGGGGCTCCGCTTTCCTCCCGCCCTGCTAGCACACAAGGGGAAGATGGATGAGTGACCGCACCCCGGACGGAGAAGCCCAACTGCCCCTGCTGTGGAGTCGCCCGGCCGGGCTAACTCACGTGCTTCTACTCTGGGGATGGGGGGGGTGTCTCTGGACGCCCCTCCATGTGTGCGCGGGGAGTCCCCACACCCGCCAGCCTTTGCCCCATTTCCTCAGGACCGGCGCCGTGGGGGAGCCCTAAGCAGCCTGAGAAATCAGAACCCACCCGGCGTGGGCACGGGGGGCCGGGGCGGGCCGGGCTCTGTCCTATGCTCTTTGTTTTCCAAGAGCAAACTGGCTGCAGAGGAATTCACTCCTTGCAAGAATCGAGGTGCTACGTGAGCAGAGGGGACTTATTACATCCGACGCCTGCCTGTCTGCCTGTCTGGTACCGTGGCAGGGCGGATGGCCCACCTGGCCTGGTCTCCCGGCATCCAGAGGCCCGTGTCCGCAGGGGATGCCTGCAGGGAAGTCGCCTTCCTCTCTAAGGGGCCAGGACCAGAGACCCCTGGGAGCTGTGACCGAGGCCCAGATACAGGGAGGGGGGACCCCCAAAAGCCCCTGAGGCGATGCCCCTGGCTTCCAGCCAAGGGGGACGTGGGTGAGGCCCCTGCACCGGGCCTGCCGCAGTGGGCGGGGTCCGGCCTGCTGCGGAGGAGGGGCTGGCTGTGCCACGGCCCTGCACAGACTCTCACGTTAGGGGACCAGTCGAAGGCGGAGGACGACCTGGCCTGTGGTGGAACCATCTAGAACCCAGGACGCTCCCGAACCCTACCAAGCGGCGGCGGCGGCGGTGCTGAGGACCGGAGCGTGTCCTACCTGAAGAGCTCCCGGATCTCCCGCTGGCTGGCCTGAAAGGGGACGTTGCGCACCAGGATCTTAGACGTCGTCTGCTTCCTGGAGACTTGCTTCTTGCGTGCGGATGTCACCGCCGGCCTGCAGGAGGGGTGGTGGTCAGGTGACCGAAGCCCGCCCAGAACCAGCGCCCCGCCCTCAGCAGGGGGATGCGTCACCCCCGCCCACGCGACCCGGGGGCCACGTCAGCCCGGCACCAGGCGACAAGCTGTGAGGGCCACTCACTAGCCCTCAATCTGAGAGTCGGGGGACCGGAGCAGGACCTGACAGGAGAGAGGACTCCCCAACATTCACTGGCACCCAGCTGCTGGACAGCCACAATAAATGGCCAAAGAAATGGCTGAAGCCAGCTCTGGATGGTGGGAGGCGGTCATCAGACTCAGAGAAGGTAGATGGTAATGGCCAGGAGATGAGCACTTGCTGGGGGACGCTCTTTGGGGGGCACTGCTGGAAGCCCCTGGGGGGTGCTGGGTCACTGACATGGAGAAGCAGGTAGAGACAGGGGAGCCAAATAACAAAGCTCTCAAAATCTTTTCCCACTGTTCCAGGAAACACCATCGGACAACTGGTCTACCTCTGTCTCCTAACATCTACCGAGTTTCAAACTGACCGATGTCCCGGGCCTCTGCTGTCCCACTCTGGGAAAGGGGGGTGGTACCAACGCGGTGGGCATGATGCCTCACAGTGCTCATCTGACGCACGTGTGCAACCCTCCCTTGCTTCATTCCTACCATCCAGCCCTGACCACGTGCGTGTTTCTCCCCGGCCGCCGGCCGCACATCGGAGCAGCACAGGTAACATCGCCCCCAAGGCCAGGCCCGGGCTGAGCGGGCAGGGGGCAGCATGGCGGCCGGCACGCGCAGCCTTTACCGAGAAGACCCCCGACGGGCAGGGGAAGCAGGGAGTCAGGACACTCACTTGGTGGCTCGCTCTGAGACCCGCAGCTCCAGCTTGTGGCCGTCCACAACGTGACCCTGTAAGAGGAGAAGCTGGGCTCAACGCTCTGCCTGTCACCCAGGGACCCCCGCCCAGGGCAGGGGCTTTCGGAGACCTCATCTTTCCTTGTTTTCCTGTTACACCACCAGGGGCCTAGAATCTTCTACCCTTCAAGGCTTGCAATGTGGGTTAGTCGGAGTGCTACTCTTGAAGGAAAATTCTAAACCGGGGCCTGAGGGCAGGACTCTAACGCCAGTCTCTGGAGACAAAGCTGGGGTGATAGCAAAATCCACCCTGAAAACCGAGCACTTCACAGCCGCCGCAGCTCACGCAGCCTCCGTGGACAGCCCTTGGTGGGAGGTGCCACCGGCCCCGATGCACACGCGTGCATGTCCGTGCCAGGATGTGGGGCGCGAGGAGCCCTTTCAGCCCTCGGGGAGGTGTGAACCCCAGCTCTCTTCCTCCTGCCTCTGGGGCTGAGAGTACTTCTCCCTCCCCTGAGCATGGCGGCCACACCTGGCCCAGGTGGCCTCCGGGTTCCATGAGGCAGATCAGAGACCGGCCGGCCGGCTCACCGCTCCTCGGACCCTTCCTCAGGGTTCTCCAAACCCTGAAACAGCCTTTGGCTCCAGTCCAGTCTTTCAAAAGCCTGGGACATGTTGCCCCCGACACCCATCACCTCACCTTTTACCTCAATATCGGGCCTCCGTTGGCTTCACACATGTGAAATTCAGTCCTACCTTCCCACACCACAGGCCCTTTGCACATGCTGCTCCCACCTCCTTGACTGCTCCCCTCCCGGCTCTCTGCACAGCTGACTTCAGATTGAGGTGTGAGCTCGACCTCCATCTCTTTAGAGATGTGTTCTGCATGTACCCACTGCCCCTACTGTGTGCTGTGGGCTTGCACGCCTGCTCAGGCTTTTGCTGCCTATCTTTCCCCCACATAGAGGAAGCACCTTCTCCAGGCCTAGCCCAGCACAGGGCACAAACCACGCCCACAAAGGGCTGTGGACAGAACGAATGAACTAACGCGTTCTGAGCTGCTTACCAGCTGCAGTTCCTTAGAGCAGGATGAGTGGGGGCAGATGGAGGGGTGTATGCGTCCCCCCCCCCCCCCCGCACCTGCCAGCTCCCCAGGGATCTTACCTGGAGCTGCCGCAGGGCTTTTTGGGCCTGCTCGGGCTTCCGGTACTCCACGAAGCCGAACCCCATGGACAGCAGGGTTCCTGAAAGAAGGGGTCATCAGCAAGGTGGGCAGGGAGGAGGTCCAGGACTGCGTGCCAGGGTGCCTGGGCCTGGGCCCACGAGGTGATCATGGCTGCCAACTGGGACGCAGCAGGCCAATTGTTGGCATAAGCCTGGCATGACCATGGGCCCATCACGGAGCACTGCCTTTGGAGGGAGAGGGGTTTGACAAGATGGGCATCGGGGCTCTGCCTGGCCGGCCCTGGTCCCGTCTGCTGTGTGGAACGCTTCCTCGCTGAGCTGGGCGCCCGGGGACAGAGGCGGCCTCTGGGCTCGGGGACCCTGAGAGCTGGCACCTGCTGGCCCCGGGCACCTCCATTCAGCCCGACCCCCCCATTCTGGGCCTTAGAGTGATATCCTTTTCCGAATTCCCAAACTGATTCTTCCCGAAATGTGACCTTACTGGAAATGTTTTGGTTTTTGTTTTCTTTTGAAACAGGATCCACCCTGGGGACTTGCGAACCTCCTGCCTGAGGCTCCTGGGTGCTGGGACTACAAGTGTCCACCACCATGCCCGGCTTTGAGATTTGTCCTTCACAGAAACCATCGAGTCAAAACCAGGCCACCTGGGTGGGTACAGGTCCACTGGGACTTGTATGGGAGCTGCCTTTTAAGAAAGGGCCAGGGTAGGCAGGACTCGAACCCAGGATGCCACGAGGACCTGAAGCACAGACAGGTGCTCAGTGCCGGCAGCCTCTGCCACCTGACTGCTCTTCTCTGCCAAGCCCCCGGGCTGCCATGGGGGAGCCTGTGCTGGGATTGTCACACCACAGCGTCCTGTGACCCTGGCAAAAGTGCTGCAGACCTCCACTTGTGTCCTCAAGCTGTGCTGGGGGGCCCTGGGGATGGGGTCCCCACGACAGGACCACTGGGCCGCGGCCACCCCACCGTCCCCCCTGCCCCGCAACCAGCAGGGGGTCAGGACAGCACCAGGCTGGTGACAGGGCGTCCCCACCCACCCTGCTCCAGCCGAGAGGCCCAGGGTTCATGACTCGGGAGAATGTTCTAGAAGTTCTACATCTAAACACCGCGTGGGGAGGAGATGGAGGCTGCTGGGGGGGAGAAGGGTCATCCACCCTGCCTGCCCCCTAAACACTAAATGCGGCTGGTCTTTGGGGGAACGGCAGGGCCACGCCACACACCAAGCGAGGGCACGGGGTCCCCGGTCACCCTACCCCCATGGCCTCGGGGGTCACCCAGGCATTACCGGCTTTGTTCTTCTTCCTGGAGACCACGCAGCTCCTCAGCGCGCCCGCTCTGGAAAACACCTGCAAGATAGCGTCACCAGGCCTCACCCCGGCTCCTGGGGATCCCCCCATGCTCGGGGGCGCAGAGCGAGGCCGTGTGGGAGGTGAGGCATGGACAGGGTGGGGCTGCATGGGGAGCACGTGCGGGGAGCGCGGGGATCGGGCGCACGGCCCCGCGGCGGCAGCTGGAGCGCGGGGATCGGGCGCACGGCCCCGCGGCGGCAGCTGGAGCGCGGGGATCGGGCGCACGGCCCCGCGGCGGCACACTCCGGGTTTACACGCGGGCAGTGGGGGAGCAGCGGCAGGCCCCAAACCTTCAGAACTGGGTTGTGGGGCCCATTTGGGGGGCACCCCCACTTAAAAAGGGCCAGGTGAGCCAGAGCTGCACGCGTGGTGGCCACGCAGGATACTCCCCCCCCCCCCCCCAAGCTCCACTCACCTCCTTCAGCGTCTCCTCCGTGGTGCTGAAGTTGAGGTTCTTAATGAACAGCGTGCACCCCGGGGAGCTCTCTTCATCGTCATCGTCATCGTCATCTCCGTCGGCGCCGTCGCCGTCGCCCGGCCTGCCGGCGGCTGCCCTCAGCACAAACACACCACACATTTTCAGCCCAGGGGGGCCCAGCCCGAAAACCAGAGCCCACCAGCTCCCTCCCTGCGGCCCGGGCAGCATGGTTTGCCCAAGGAAGACGGACAGGCCGGAGCCGGGACCCCCGCCGCCTCCGGGGACAGAGCAAGCGCCAGCTGCGGCCCCCACACTGCCGGCTCTTCGCAGGAACGCGCCCCGGGCAGCCGGACGGTCAACGTCAGAGCCCTCGCGAGACCTTGCTCCTGAGCGGGAGCCGCGGCTGCGTGCGTCACGTGTGAATTCTACCTGGAAAAGCGGCGTTAGGCAAACTTGCCAACTCCAATGTAACTTTCTCTTTTCTTTTTTTTGCCACTCCTGAGGCTTGAACTCAGGGCCTAGGCGCTGCCCCTGAGCTGCTTCTGCTCAAGGCAAGCGCTCTACCACTTGAGCCACGCACAGCACCACTTCCAGTGTTCTCTGAACGTGGTACTGAAGAATCGAACCCAAGGCTGGCAGGTTCACCGCAGACCTAAAGAAACTTCCAGAGCGCTGCACCTCTCAAGTTTCATGGTTTTAGGGGTAGCCCCTTCCCTCCAGGTCTCCCCACTTGGGGAGGCCCACCCAGCGTGGCCAGGAGTTCAGATGCTTCTAGAAAAGCGGAGAGTCCAGCTTCTTACGGGGAAACCTTGTCCTCAGATCCTGGCAGCCTGACTGCATCACAAAGGAGCTGGTCCGGCCTGAGCTTACACCACCTGCACCACTGAGAGAGATCCCAACTGGCCAGCCCAGCCATCTCCGTGCTGAGCAGCTGAGGGTCCTTCTCCTGCTCATCCTGACCCTCCTTCCTTCTTCCCCGTCCTGCTCTGTTGCAACTGCACCAGCCTCTTCTTTGATCGCCAAGCCTGCCAAACCAACACCTGCCACAGGGCCTTTGCACTTGCAGTTCCAGCTTATTCTGCTCATCTCTGGTCCACTCAGGCCTGGCTCCTCCTGCTCAGATCTCTATTTATGCACAATAAATGGCTGCAGGTGGTGCGCGCCTGGAGCACAGTGAGGCTCAGAAACACCCAAGTGGTGCCCACGCGGAGCTGTGGCGCGGTGGGTAAGAGCTCAGACCTCGAGGCCAGTGGCTTCGGACCCCACCTGGCTCTCTCCGCGTGTGACCCCGTACAGATCCCGGGCCTCTGTCACCTCTATGAAGGGATGACAGGTGTCCCGCCTGCGGGCGGCAGCGCACCCAGGCCTGTTGTGCGCTCCGCAGCAATGCCCACGCATCTTTCTCGGTCACGCCGCGGCACGCACGGTCCCGCGGGGCCCTCAGGAGGGGAGGGGCGCTGAGCCCCGCACCCCTCTCCCTGCAGCCCGCTCCAGGCTCCGCAGGTCGGGGAGCCCAAGGCCTTCCTCACGAGTAGACAAAGGAAGACGAGAGGGAAACATGGCTTGGTGATGTGCCTACAGATGTTTGCCCACAAAACCACCAGGAAGGGGGCGGGCGGGCAGCTGGGCGAGCGAGCGGGGCTGCGCGGGGGGAGGGGGGGAGGGGGCGGGAGCAAGGTGGGCTGGGGAGGGCTGGAGGGGGACAGGGGCTGTGCACGTCTGTCCTGAGCACAATCAAATCCAGTCACGCCTCGCCACCCGGGGCTCTGGGATAATCGGGCGCAGAATTACCGCGCCCTCCCCTTGCAGGCTGCGGCTGGGGGCCCGCGGCGCGGCGTTATCAGCGGCGCGCAGCTTTCCTGGACCTCCCCCCCACTCGCGGCCCTTTATCTGGAGGTGAGGGTCTTGGTTGTGGGGAGATAAAACACGCTGTCCCCTCCCGGGGGACCGGCACGGAGAACAGGAGAGCATCGCAGACAGGCGGGGGGGGGGGGGGGGGGGGGGGGACAGGCCGACACACCGCACCGCACGGCCCAGCCCTCTCCCTCCCCGCCACCCTCTCCCTCCCTGCAGGGCTGAGAAATCCAGGGCTCCACTCACCCAGCCACGGGGAGCCAGAGACCTGGGGACACTTCAAACAATGTGCACCAGGGCGGGGTGGGGAGCAGGGGATGGAAGGGAAGATAGAGGAGAATAGAAGGGAGCCTTGGGACCAGCGCTGGGAAATCACAGCCAAGGCGACACGGGGGGGGGGGGGGGGGGGGGGGGGGGGGAGGGCGGGGGATCCGCTGGGCAAGGCACAGATGGCACACTTCCCTGGTCTAGAGCCAGGCAGGCAGCGAGCCCCTCCTCCAGGCTCCGAGGCCTCTATTGTGGGAAACCTGCCTCTGTAGAGGGAACCCCACAGGCAGCCGGGGGGCGGGTGGCCCCCAGACCTCCTCAGGTCCCCCACCAGCCCAGAACTCCCGAGGGACGGGGAGATCGTGCCCGTCCTGGTCAGCCCCTCGCGGCTGGTGTGCAGCTCTCCGTGGGTGCGAGTCGTGTATGCTTCCACGGACACGGGTGGACGTGGGCTGAGTGGAAGGGGCAGGGCCCTGCTCACGCCTCCGCCCTCCAGCAGGCTCCGGGACCCGCCGTGGAGCAGGACAGGAGAGGTTCAGACCTGCTCTTGGCTCAGGTGAGAACTGCCTGCCTCTCTCACCATTTTGCCCCTCTGCCTTCCAGTTTTCTTTTGAAATATGCAAGAATGATGGAGTTAGCAGATGGAGGACTTGGCTTCTTTTTTCTAGTCCAGTGGTGGGGCCTGAACTCTGGGCCTGGGCGCTGTCCCTCAGCTCTTCAGCTCAAGGCTAGCACTCTACCACTGGAGCCACAGCGCCACTTCCGGCTTTTTTCTTTTTGCTTATGTGGTGCTGAGGAATCGAACCCAGGGCCTCATGCACGCAAGGCAAGCGCTCTACCACTGAGCCACCTTTCCAGCGACTTGGCTTCTTTAAAAGATGCATTCTTATCTAATAAACCAATTGGGAACTCTATTCCATGCGAGTGTCCTGCTACTGGTGGACTTTAAAAGAAAAAAACCACCAAACTTTTGAAACAAAAGCCCGTCACATAGCCAGTCTTACCAGCCTTCAACGCGCCTGCCACAGCCTATCAAATGCTGGGATTACAGGTATGTACCACCAGGCCCATCCTTACGGGTAAAACCCTAATGTTTGAGTAAAGGGACCTCCGCTGTACTCCAAACGCGGCTACCGGTCTTGGAGTCTAACACATGGTTAGAATCAGTGGTTCTCATGGGGGGCTGTTACCGCCCACTAGGGGGCATCTGGGACCGGAGGCACCCCTGCTGCTCTGTGGGCTGTGATAGGCTTTTGCCGCTGGCACCAAGATCCTGCTGAGCAGGAACGATCTGACAACGGTGCCTCACAGCCTAGCTACTGGGGGATGGGGGGGGGGGAGGGAAGGGGAAAGACCCACTGCCAGGACCCAGGGGCCACCACGCTGCCTGACCGACCGTGCAGCCACTGGACCCCAGGGGCTGCTGTGGAACCGGGCCAGGAGCGCACCTGGGCGGTCTCCACCTGCCCCTCCGCCACCTGTGCAACGATAAGGTGCTCCCATTTGCTGCTGAGTCCCGCTGATGGATTCTAGAGTTCCTCTCTCCAGCCGTTAACCGACAACCCAAATGGCCTCAGGCTGCGCCCACGAGGAGACCCCCAGAGCTGCAGGGTGAAGGGAGAAGCCACCGGCTCCACGAGGACTTCCTGCCTCCTGGCTCTTACCTGTTCCTGGCCCCGCCTGCACCTCTTCATCGGCGTCGCCCGGCCCGGCCTGGGGCTCGCTCGTCCGCTGGGCTGCGCTGGAGAAGACGCCCATCGGAGCCCACTCGAGATACAGGGGGACGTGGTGGAACTGTGGAGACAGGGTGCCAGCTGTGGGAGGCATCCTGGGGCTGAGAGCCCGCCAAGGTCCTGGCAGGGCCGAGCATCTGGCCGGGACAGGAAGAATGAATGGGGCAGGAGAGCACGGTGCACTTGGGCAGACACACACAGGGTGTGTGTGTGGGGTACATCTCCAAGCCCCACAGAAAGCATCGCTGGCCACTCGGAACCCTCCGGATCTCACTCCATGCTCTAGCCCACCCGCTTGAGTACCGGAGTCCACATGCTGAGCTGGGGGTGGGGTGGGGGAAGGTGTGCGCATGCTCCAAGCCAGCCTTGGGGGTAGGAGGGCGCACACCTGCTCCTGTGTACTCTGGAATGCGCGTGCTCAGAAGGGACAACTAGAGGGCTGGGACGGCACCTTCCAGCCATACGGTTTGAGGCTCCCAGGCCTTCACTTACACTTATGCAAAATGGGGAGTGCAAAGCGGGGAGCCAGCGAGAGAGCCGCTGTCATTAATGGAGGTGGTATAAAACAACGGGATGAGCTGGGCGCCAGTGGCTCACGCCTGTCATCCTAGCTACTCAGGAGGCTGAGATCTGAGGATCCTGGTTCAAAGCCAGCATGGGCAGGAAAGTCCATGAGACTCTTAGCTCTGAACAAACACCCAGAAAACTGGAAGTGGTGCTGTAGCTCAAGTAGTAGAGCGCTCACCTTGAGCTGAAGAGCTGAGGGACAGCGCCCAGGCCCAGAGTGCAAGCCCCACAACCGACAAAAAAAAAAGAAAAAAAAAGACATGGACATCTACATCCCAGGGGAACCTGTGCCTATTGGGGTCCAGGGTCGTTCCTGGGTAGCTGCATACACAGGCTGGCACAGGGGGCACCCAAGAGCCGAGAGGGCTGAGTCCAGGCCGGAGGCTCGCTCTCCCCCACGCCTGGCAGCCCGGGGAGAGGGACGCCAGCCTCCTCCCCGCGTCACAGAGGGAGCTCCGTCAGCGAGGTGTGTCCGTGCCTGACAGACACCTGCGAGATGAATGGGGGTTCCCCAAAGATAGGGCTGCGCCTTGACCCCCACAGCCCGCGGCTGACAGAACTGCGAGTGTCCGTCTGTGAGCCGTCCTGCTCCCCCGGCTTGGGCCCCCTACCCCACGCCACACGCCCGGCCTCACCTTGGAGTAGGCCAGGTGTCTGAAGGCCTTGCGGGCTTCCAGGGGCTCCAGGAACTCCACGATGGCGGTGACCCCGCCTTCGGGCAGCAGCACCCGGCCCAGGCTGCCGAAGTGGCCGAAGACCTCCTGCAGCTCGGCCGCCGAGGTGCCTGCTGGAAGGTTCTTGGCCAAAATCACAGTCTTGCTTCGCTCCGCTGCGGCCTTCAGGGGCGAAGTGAACAACACCGGTGGGACCAGAGCAGTGGGACCTGGGGCAAAACCCAGCCCCGGCCAGCAGTGGCCTCGGGCAGCAGAGCCAGAAGGCCCGGCCTTGGCTGCCATGGCAGCCTTGTGAAGGGTGAAGGCCCAGGGCCCCTTCTGAGCCAGGCAGATCCCCTCGCTGCCTGGCCCGTCCTGGCTGGGCCTAGCAGTGACGGAGAGCCTGGGTTCCTTTGTGGGCTGGTGCACCCTGTCTCTGCGGAAGCATGGGCCTCCCGCCAGCCTGGCAGGTCTCCCCAACGAGGCCCCGTGGCCTCCCCGGAAAGCCACGCCCAGCGCCCAAGTTCCCGGCTGGAGCTGCGTGAAGACCTACCTGGCTGAAGGAGTCCAGGCTGACCCCGTTGTCGATGAGGAAGCGGCGGACCTCCTGGACCAGCTGGGTCTCCCCCAGGGCCACCCGCACGGCCACGCTGCCCTTGGTGTCCTGAGGGACAGAATGGAAGAGTGTGACGGCCCACGCCACCTCCCCTCAGAGGGAAATGGGGCTGGCCCACGGCCTTCACCTGCCCTCACAGCTCTGCTGCCTGGGTCCCCACAGCCCCTTCTCCAGCCTCCTCCTCCCCCAGCCCCCGGGGCAGATACAAACTTGCTGACCTCGGATGGCGTTCATGGACTGGACCAGTACTCTGGGCACCACTATCTTCCTCAACTACAAGGGACGGGAGGGCTAGAACCCCTGCTCTGGGCTCCGCTGAGCTCCTGGTGCACAGCGGGTACTTGCAACCCGTCTCTCCTCTTACCTTGGGCCAGCCTGCACTACCCTATATGGCCACCAGGGGCCACACTGAGCCGCTAAGTGGCCCAATCACACTGGACTGGGTGAGAAACAAAGACTGAAAAATGGCTTGGGATGATTGGAATTAACTTTGTCTCCTTCCTTTGCAGTCACTCTACCTCTAGGGACAGTGCTGGCCTGGCATGCTGGGAGGATTAAGGGACAGTGGACAAAATCAGGGCTGCCCTTGGCAGGTTGGAGGAAGCCAGTTGTGGGTTTTATCTAACACAGACTCAGGAGCCCGAGACTCTAGGTACCGGCTGGATCACAGAACGTGCCCATGTGGCCCTCACTCACGTGGTCAAACACTTGGCTCTTGGTGGCGTTGTACTTGTGAGCAATGGCATCGGCCACGGCGTTGGGCCCCATGAACAGCGTGTTCCAGTTGTGGGAGCTGAGGGGCAGAGGCAGAGCAGGGGTCACACCCGGCTTATGGGGGACTCCTTCAGACCTCCAAGAGCTAAGGCATGGCTCTGGGCAGCTGCCCAAGCTCCACCCCCCACCGACCCCCGCCCTCGCCCAGCTAGCATGGCCGGAGCACGGCGCATGCGTGGGGCTGTGCACACAATGGCAGATGCCAGCGCCTGTGGTCACTGCCGGCCAGTGATGGCCACACTGCTCTCCCCGCTGAGCAGATGAGTAGAGAGGCTCTGGAAGGCCACACACAGAACCCATGGGGAGGAACAGTGCGAGCAGCAGGAAGCTTGGATAAGGCTGATGAGTCATGCCTGTAATTCCAGCTGCTCAGGAAGCTGGCAGCCACGGCGGGGTGCCTCCCAACCAGCCTGGGCAGGAAAAGTCCAGACTCCATCTCCAAAATAACCAGCAAAAACTTGGACTGGGAGACTGGGGGACAAGGCTCAAGTGGAAAAGAGCTCCAGCCACAGGCAAGCAAGAAAGCAAGCAGAGAGAGAACATGAGGCTCCGGGTTCAAACCTCAGTGTCAGAGAGAGAGAGAGAGAAGGCAGGACTGAGGGAGCGGAAGCTGGGGTGGGTGACTGGGTAATGAGGACCTGGAGCTGCTGGCCTTGTCCTTGGCTTCCCTCTTCTTCTTATAGGAGGAACCGGGGGTGTCGGCGTCCTCACTGGCCTCCTTCTTGACGGTAGACGGCAGCACGTGCAGCATCCTGCCCTGGGGGGAGGAAGAGGAGGAGGGAGGGGTCAGCTGTCACGGACATGCTACTCACTGTGGACACCGATGACCCGAGGGTGGTCACTGGGTGGGGTCAGCTGATGGCGGATCCCTGTAAGTGGCCCTGTGGCCAGGGGCAGGAAAGCCCTGCTGCTCACCTGGAATACTCGCCCGTCCACCTCGGCGTAGGCCTTCACGGCGTGCTCGGGAAACATGAAGGTCACGAAGGCGAAGCCCTTGGGTTTCTTGGTCAGGCTGTCGATGGGGTAGTGGAGGTCGGACAGGGGACCTGGGCAGAGACGGGCATGGAGTCAGCTGGCTGGGAGCGGGGCTGGCTGCCCGAGCACTGGGTGAGCAAGGTGCTGGCACTGGAGGGGGCGGGTGTGGCTGTGGGAACTTCAGTCCCGGCTCTCCCGGCCACTGGCTATTGCAGACACCTGACAGTCAAAGTGTCACCGCGCAATTCCTTTGCGTCTGCTCTCGGTGTGCCCAGCTGCACCCCAGCCTCGCCCACCGCCTGCTGGGTGGCCTCACATCTGTCTTCCCGAATGGACAGCTGTGGTCTGTGGCCAACTCCTGCCATGTGACCCAGGACCGAGGGGAGGGGCTGGACCTCCCTGCCCGGGGAGACCCAAGACCACTGCTGGGGTGGCACCAGCACCAAGACCTCATGGCCACGGCGAGCCCAGCGGTGACCACGCCCTACAACACAGCCAGAACTGGCTCCCATCACCACCTCTATTTGGGGCCAGCTTTGCACAGGAAGCCGACTTCAGACACCCAAGCGGCAGGCATGCCCAGGCCTGTGGTCACTGCCTGCCACACTGGGGGGGGGGGGGGTGAGGATCTGGCCAGCCAGGCAGCTTCAGGAAAGCGTCCACCTCCAGCTCTGCCTTGGCGTGAAGAGCTCCACACACTCAGCAGAGCCGCCATCTAGTGGTCCTCAGGCCACAGCTGGGATGGGAATCCCCACTTTACACAGGGGCTACGGCCATCCGCTGCAGACTGGACGGGGCTCCACCCAGGACCGAGGCTGGCCGCACGCACCGTAGGCGGAGAAGAGCTTCTCCAGGTCTTCCTCGGAGCTGGTGTACGGCAGGTTGCGCACAAAGAGCCTCCCGGAGTCCGCCAGGTCCTCCTCCTCCTCGTCTTCCCTGAGCGTGCGGCCTTGCCAGGGCTTGGCGCTGTTTCTGGGGGTCCCCTTGGCAGTGGGGACATGCTTCTCCCTGAACACCTCGATATAGCGCCCACCTGTGCAGGGACAGGGGGTCAGGGCCTCCTGACCAGTGGCTCTGGTCTCCTCTCTGCTACTGCTGGACGCCGTGGCCTGGGAGGGGGAGAGTGCCCTTGGCACTCACCCTACCACCTTCCAGCCTGGGGGCTGCCCGGCCCAGGCCACAGAGACCCCAGAGTCCTGAGGCTCACCTTCTGGTACCACTTGCAAAGTCCTCTGTGCCAATCCAGCCCAGGAGAATGACCAGGGTCACGGGTGTCAAGGCCCGTGCTTCACCCCGCACAGCCATCCATCCTCCAAACCCCCCGCCCCGGGTGCTCCACAGAGCCCTCTGCCTGACTAAGGGGACTGCTGGCCGCTGCACCCCCAGTGCCCACCCCAGGCTCTGGCAGAGCGAGGAAGCTCACGGCCCCGTGGATGGTGAACCGCTCACAGCCCTGTCCCGCGAGTCTCACCCATGTACTCTCTGTTACATTTCAATGCATTCTTCACCTCCTCCTCACTGCTGAAGTCCACAAAGATGTACCCTGAGAGAGATGCCACCGTCAGCCAGGCTGCCAGAGGCAGGGATGGGGGCCAGGGACAGACCCGGACCACCCAACGGAAGCCAGAGCCAGGTGCGCCCTACAATCCCGCCCCACCCAGAACCCGTGAGACCCCACCTGTTTTGTTCCCATGCGCGTTTCTCACGATCCGAATGGCCACGGGCTTCAGGGGGGCCAGAAATTCGAGGACATTTTTCTGTAAGAAAAAAATGTTTCCTCAGCCAGTCTCTCTCGTGTTACTTCCGTAATAAACGACTTTTAAAAAAATTAATCCTATTAGTACAATTGTCAGATATTTTATCTGAAGACTTTGAAGCACCCCACGACTGGGCAGGGGTGTCGTGGCTGGTGGCCGCGCTCTTGCCTGGCATGCATGAGGCCCGGGCCTCAGTCTCCAGCGTTTAGTCCTCATAGCAAAACACTGCAAATGACCCGGGTCTAACTGAGAGGACTGGGGAGGCCGGTGGGTCTGTGCCACAAGAAACCTGGCATTGTGGGAGAGCACGTGCGCCCTCCTCCAGGGTGCGTGGGCACCACCGTGGCTACCGCCCCTTTACAACAGGAGGCCCACCCAGCCGGGTGTGGATGGCAGGGAATGACCCGTCTTCCTCCCCCCTGCCCCCTTCCCACAACAACGCTGCGGGCTCATCGCTCCGCCTCTGCCCCTATTTCCCTCTAGCTCATCCTGGCTGGTCCTCATCCCAGGGGCGGCTCAGGCTCTGCCCCCTCTGCCCTGGTGCCCGCCCGTCCTATCCCGCACCTCTGTGACGTTGAACGGGGCTCCGCGCAGCTTCACTGTATGGGCGGTCGTGGGCTCCTTCTGGTTTGCCGGCTTCTGTGTCTTGAGTGGTGGCGAGACAGAGGAGTGGCGGTGAGTCCCCAGGGATGGCTCCCACCGCAGCGGAGGTGCTGCCCGCGCCCCGGGAGGGCTGGGCGTGGCACGGCTAGCCTCGGTGGAGGCCATAGCATCAGGGAGCAGCGGGCCCCGCGGTGCGGGGATACCAGCGGGGAAGGGAAGGAAGCCGGAGGCACAATGACACTGGTCACCCCAACCGGGACTGTGCCCAGTACTCAAGAGGCCAGTGTCTGACTCAGTCTGTAATACGACTCGACAGGTATTCTGGTTCACGGTCTTTCCCGTGATTCTGAAATCCAAACAGCCCTGCCAAACCCAAGCTCTGGGCACAAAACCTGCCCTGACTCGAGTGTGGTTTCCACCGGTCAGCTCCGGGCTGAGCGCTGAGCACCGGCCCACGGGGCTGGCCGGCCGAGTCCTTGGCACGAGGTTTGTATGAGCGATGCCAGGGCCAAGGGCCCTTGTGCGTGTGCTCATCTTCCTGGCGCTGCGCACCCCTGGGCTTAGGCCTGGCGTGGGGAGGAATGGGAACCAGCTCAGGGACTGCGCTGGAAGAGCCTCATTTATAGGGAAGATCGCACAGGTTTAACGGCCAACTAAGGACCAGAGCTGAGATCTGAACCCAGAACTCAGGTTTCTCTGGAGTGCTTGTGATTAGAGGAGGGAAGGGAAGAGGAAGAGGAGGGTGAAGCCTGCCTTCCTCTCATTGGAGAGCCAAGGGAAGAGTGGGTGCTTCTAAGGCGGGGGGGGGGCCCCCACAGGGGTTTCCCCCCTCCCCATGGGAGGGACACTAGGTGTACAACAACCTTTATAACCTCTTCTTCAGAGCCTGGCAGCCAGGAGTGAGTCCTGACCCCACTGCCTCCCAGCCATGGCCTTCTCTGCTCCAGGCCTGTTTCCTGGCTCTTCTTCCACGCCACGCCCCGAAGGGCGGGCCCCCAGGCTGGCATGTGCAGCCGGCCCTCCTTCCTCCCCCCCCTCGGGCCCTCACGGAAGCACACACCTGAGCTGCAGCCTCCTGGGGTCTGCTGGGGGGTAGGGCCCCCGGTTCCGGGCCCAGCCCCCTGCTTGAGCTCTCCTGGTGGGCAGGGGAGGCAGGGGGGCTCTGGGCCTCGCCCTCGCTGCCTCCCTCACAGCTCACGGCCTCGTCCTCACTCTCCTCCTCTTCCTCTGAGGAGGATGCCCCGGCCTGCACCACCTTGGACCTCAGGTAATCCATGTCGGAGAGTCCCTTCTGCACGGCCACCTTTCCGTCCAGCCCTGGCTTCCCTGGAGGAACAGGGAGATGAGTTCAGCGAATTGAGTGACAGGGGGCCGGCGTTCCAGGATGCGCCAGACACGCCATGCCACCACGGAGCACTCAGGACGGGTCCTCACCTTTGGCCTCCTCCCCAGCTGCCTCACTGTCCTCACTCTCCTGGCCAGAATCGGAGTCAAAGTTTAGGTAGTCGCTGGCTGGCTGGCTCTTCCTTCTTGGGGGCTCAGTGTCCAGGGCGTCGTTGGCCCAAGTGGCGGCCTGTGTCCGCCTCTGGTGAACTGACAGGAACTCCTGGAACTCGGTGTCTTCCTTCAGCTGATGGCACAGCGCCCGAGGAGGCAGAGGTGGAGAGATGGAGAAGAGGCAGAGGAGGCTCCGGTGAGGGCTGGGCCTATCGACCAGCAAGAGCCCCTGGGATGCAGGAGATTTAAGAAGCCAGGAGACAGGGCAAGGGGTGTACTCAGTCTCCCCCAAGCACCCCTGCGCAGGCCTCCCTTCGGATCAGCCCCGGGACTCACCTTCTCCAGCTCAGTTGGTACCTTGTTCTTCTTATCCTGAAGGCAGAAGGCAGAGGGTGAGCCTGAGTGGGGACCGGGGCGAGGAGAGCAGCACAGCCCTGCTGGGCCCAGGGACCATCCACCCTGCCTCCTCGGGACCGCCCCACCACCTGCGTACTTGCTTAGTTTCTCTGGGGGCAGAGTCCTGTGCAGGAGGCTCGGGCTGGATCGCTTTCTGGCCATGTTTGCTCCAGGCTCGGGGCTTTGTGGGGTCCCCAAATGACTTGCAGAACTCCACCTGTGTGGGGAGAAGATGGCGTTTATCACCCACCACCCCCCCCCCCACACACACACACGGGACCTGGGCACATGGGCTTTAGAGACAGGCCATAAACAGTGACCTGTTTCCTTGAAGCAAATTCCTTCCCATCCCCAGCCCTGAAGTCACTGCCACAGTTACCATGCATCGGGGAACCCGAGTACTGATGCTGCTTCACCCCATCTGCGAGGGTCAGCATGCCAAGCCCCCCCCCCCCCCCCCGCCTCCCCCAAGCAGAAAGGAGGAGTCGCTGCTCTCCAAGTTCCCAGCCCAGGAATCAAAGCAGAGAACAGAAGCCACTGCCCAGTGACCCAGGTGGCAAGTGACCGAACTTGATGCAAACTGGAACTCAGGGCCTAAGGTCTTTTTTTTTGGGGGGGGGGGTAGGGGGGGGGTCCGGTCGTGGGGCCTGAACTCTGGGCCTGGGCACTGTCCCTCAGCTCTTCAGCTCAAGGCTAGCGCTCTACCACTTGAGCCACAGCACCACTTCCAGCTTTTTTCTTTTTGCTTATGTGGTGCTGAGGAATCGAACCCAGGGCCTCATGCATGCAAGGCAAGCGCTCTACCACTGAGCCACCTTCCCAGCCCCCGGGCCTAAGGTCTTAAAACCACGTGTGCAGGTTGGGTCTGGTGACACAGGCTTTATGCTCAGCTGGGAGCTGGAGCAGGGCAATGCAGAGTGACAGCTGACAGGGGCAAGCCTGGCTGGCCCCAGACAACCATCACAGGGTAACAGGGAAAATGGGGGGGGGGGGGGTGTCTCAGGAGAACCCTAAGGAACCACTCTTGAAACCTAGACGTTTCCAACACTCCAGGAAGTGATCTTTGGGAGGGCTGGCCCTGTGGGAGCCCAGGTGGGAGCCATAAGCCACACCTTGCCACGACAGGGAATCACTTTTCCCAGGGTCACAATCCTTTCATGGGGTCTTTAAGAATAATTCCTTCTGCTGGGTGTAGTGGTACACGTCAGTAAGCCAGTACTCAGGTATAGCAGGAGAATTTCAAGTTCAAGGCCAGCTGGGGTTACATATTGTGACCTTGTCCCCAAAACAAACAGCCAAAAAAAGAATAAAAGCCAATTGTTAGCTGGACACTGGTGGTTCGTGTCTATAACCCTAGCAGTTCAGGAGGCGGAGACCTGGAGGATCCAAGTTTGGAGTCAGCCTGGGCAGACATGTCTTTGAGACTCCATCTCCCAATTAACCAGCAAAAAGTGAGGTGTGAGAGTTTGAGGCCCTGAATTCAAGTCCTGCTATTGGTCCATTAAAAAACCCACGAAAATTATTTCTGTGGTAAGGACATGTATTCATGACTCAACTGACAGAAAAATAGTATAAAGATGGTTTTTAAAATGACTTGAATTTCTATCAATCACAGAGAGGAATTAATCTTTTGGGAAACTTGTGGCACCTGGCTCTTTCTGCATTTATATACCCGCAGAGCAGGGATACGGCCGTGCATGGGATCAGGTCTCCTTTTCCTTCTCAGTGCAGTACGACTCATGCTTTGTCATGTCATCAGTACACATGGAAGCCTTCCTGAGCCCTCCAGGAACACAAGCAGCTTGCTGATTTATAGAGCTCTGCCTGCCGGCTGGCAGGTGGCCACGTGAAGACACAGAGCTGGGAATCCCAGACAGATGTGTGCTACCCAGCCTCAGAGGGAGTCCCAGAGGCAGCTGACAGGTGAGTGAACAAAGGAGGGGCTCACAGGTGGTCCCCTAGGGACAGCCTGTGCCCGTGCTGGGGCCTCATTTCCACAAGCTCATTCAGACACTCACCACGGGCCCAGGATGTTTTACCAAACTCTCAGGTGATTCTTATGTGTTCAAAAGAGTGTGAACCCAAAGTGCAGGCCAAAGGGGGAAGAGCAACGGGTGCTGAGTGAGAGGCCTGCTGTCACTCCAGGGAAACAGGCAAAGAGGGACTCCCACCGACTCACCGTGATCCGGGATGTGTCGATGAAGCTCCTGTTGAAGTGGCTCAGGGCTACCTGGGCCTCTTCCTCCGACTTGAAGCCGATGAAGCCGAATTTACGGAACTTGCCATCTTTGGTGAACTTCAGGCTGCAGTCGGTCAGTGTGCCGAAGACAGCAAACAGCTGCCTGAAGCGCTCCTCCTTCATCTGGAGAAGAGGCACAATGAGGGGGGCCAGGGGTGCCCCCTCCTCCATCGGGAGCCCAGGTATCAAGACACGCTAGCTACTCAGGAGAATGAGGTTTCAAGAAGCACAGTTTGAGGCCAGCCTGGGTCAAAATTCCATGAGACTCCATTTCCAGTTGAGCAACAAAAAACCAGGCAGGAGGCATGGCTCAAGTGGCAGAGCACCATCCACTGAGAGATTTTTTTTTTTTGGTCAGTCGTGGGGGCTGAACTCTGGGCCTGGGCGCTGTCCCTCAGCTCTTCAGCTCAAGGCTAGCGCTCTACCACTTGAGCCACAGCACCACTTCCGGCTTTTTTTTCCTTTTTGCTTACGTGGTGCTGAGGAATCGAACCAGGACCACGCGCAAGCAAGACTAAGTGCTCTACCACAGAGCCACCTTCCCAGCCCTCCGGGGGCGAGAGAGTTTAAGAAGAAAAATCCACAACAATAAAACCAGCCAGCCAACAAACAAATCCACCAGAGGCAACAGTAAAAAACAGAAACAGTCTGGCATTTTCTAAAGTGAGGAAGATACCCTCGGGGGTAGAAGCCAGAGTTCGGAAGGCGGCGTTATTCCCAATCACTCCATTCAAACGGCTCACTTTCCATGGTGGCCTGGGGCTATCCATCAGGAGCTCTCTAACCCAGAAGTCGGACTGAAACGGGAGGGAGGGTGCAACCCCCCGTGTCCATGCCCACTCGTCTATTTCTCGGCTGAGGTACCCGGCGTGTTGTCGGAGGGATGCTTCCCTCGGGAGGTGGAGGCGGGGGCTCCGGGGATGCAGGAAAGCAGGGCGGGGTCACCCCGCCCCATCCACCTCCCGCCCCCCACTTGGTCTTCCGGGCTGCCCGGGCGGCAGCGGCGGGGAAGCAAAGGCCGTGACCCCGCGAGGAGCCCAACAGCCTGGAAACTTCGACCCGAGCCTGTGGGGCCTCCTGGGGGGCCGGGGCGGGGGTGGCATCGCCCCGGGAAGAGAAGCCGGGGTTCCAGCCGGCGGGGAGGCCTCGAGCAGCCGCTCCCCCGCCTTCCCGGAGGGCAGCGCGGGCAAGCCCGGGATGCCGACGTCGGCGCGGGGCCCCGGGCTCCGTCCCCCGGAGGGCGCGCCGAGAGGCGTCCCAAGGCCTGGCTCTGCACTCACCCCGTGCGGGAGGTTCTTCACGATCAGTCGCGACATGGTGCGAGGTTCCCGGCGCTCCGGATCCCAGCCGCAGCCCGCAGCGCCCTCCCCGCCGCTCTCACGCTGCCGCCCTGGGCGCCGCCATGGTTCGCCGGTCACGTGACCGGGCGCGGGACCCGCCCCCTCCCAGAAGCAGACGTGATTGGCCACGCCGCTCGAGGAAGTCAGCCCTAAGGGGAAGGGGGCGGGGTGGAGGGCGGCGGAGGACTCGCCCACTGCGCAGGCGCAGGCTCCACCTGGAGACGAAGCTGGGAGATGTCGGTAGGAGGCGCTGGTTCCCAGGATCCAGGGGTTGCGGGCGTGGGGGGGGGGGGGGGGAGTAGTCTGCCAGAGGGGAGTCTGCACACCAATTTCCACCAGGTGGGGGCATGCCTAGCACCCCACGATGCTTAGCTTCAGATTCAGCACCAGGCCTTCGGACACCAGCATGATCCTCTAGCCTTTGTGTTTTCTACGGTGATAATTCTGCATTACCCCAAGTTCAAGGACACAGGCAGGTCAGGCTCCTGAGACGGGACAAGGGTGCATCAGGGTGCAGTCTCTACCCACTGGTGGGGGGGGGAGCTCCGCAGGAACCCCCATACTATCCCTAGTATGCAGCATTTCCTTCTTGGCCACAGCATCTCATATGCACTAACGTTGTTTGGGTTTCCCCCCCTCCTCTCAGCTTTTGCAATTTCCCTCTTCAAGATACTCCTGACTTTTGGTTAATAGCTTCTTTGGGCCCTGGTGGCTCACGCCTATAATCCTTGCTACTCAAGAGGCTGAGATCTGAGGATCGCAGTTTGAAGCCAGCCTGGGCAAGAAAAAGTCCGAGACATTTGTTTGTTGTTGTTGTTCTTGGTTATGGAGCTTGAACTCGGCGTGGGTGCTGTTTCTAAGCTCTTTTGCTCAGGGCTAGAGCTCTACCACTTTGAGCCACAGTACCTCTTCCGGATTTTTAGTGGTTGATTGGAGATAAGAGTCACGTGGCCATTTCTACTGGCTGCAAACCAGGATCCTCAGATCTCAGCCTCCTGAGTAGCTAGGATTACAGATGTGACTCACCACCACCCAGCCCTGGAGACTTTCATCTCCAATTAACCACCTAATGGTAGAGCACTAGCTTGAGCAAAGAAGCTCAGAGACAGCCCCCAGCCCCGATTTCAAATCCCAGTATTGGTGTGTGCACACACACACTCACACACACAAAAGATTAATTCACGTATCGGACAATTCACTTGTCTACATTTGTCCCATGGTGATAGCATGTTTGCTCTTTTGCAACCATGTTCGAGTCAATATTAGGACATTTTTGTCACCACCTCCTCCAAAGGAATCCCTGCCCCTTTATTGCTGACCCCTTCCCTGCTCAATGGAATGACAGGTATCCTTATAAGAAACACACACAGGAGAAGCCATGTGAGGATAAAAAGATGAGTCTTGGTAGAACCATAGAAGATTCCTTGTCTCCCTGCAGGTTCTGTGGGATTGGCTTGTGATTGCATCCCTCCACTGCTATGTCTTACATGGACTGTTGATTCACCCGTATGTGCGCATGCATGCATGTATTCACGTGCACGCACACACACACACACATACTCAGCTCCATTAACTGGCTGAGGCTGGGTTGAAGCTCAGGGCACTTACTACACACACACATGTGAATGCACATCACCCTGGCTGCCACACCCAACCACTGCAAAAACCAGAAGCAACACCAAACAACAACAACGACCCAAACCCACTGATGTGTGTGTGTGTGTGTGTGTGTGTGTGTGCAACAAGAAGTTACACATTTCCGAATAGCCGCAGAGGGGAGATGGAAGGTTGTAACCCAAGCACTGTCAGTGTTCGAGGTGGCAGGGGCCGTACCGGCATTTTACCTCCTTGAAAGAGTTTTAACAGATACTTTTGCTTACTGATGTGCTTTTAATTAGAAGGACAATTAGGGGGGCTGTTTCTCCCCCGTGACCCCTTTAAGATGGGGGTATACAGGCTTTCTGTGGCAGTGCTGAGGAATTTGCCTTTAAAGCAAGCGGAGGTTGCCAGTTTCATATGCTTTTATTATTTTCCTGAACTGCCTTTATTAAAACACAACTAAATATAGCCTTCCCCCGAGACCGCGTCCGATCAGAGGGTGTTTTAAAGGCATTAAAAGAAAATGGAAAGCGCTTTACGAACCCCACGTCCCCACCCCGGCCCGGGGAAATGTGGTGACCACATGTTAGGAGAATGACCGACCGTGTTGCGGGCTATGTAACCCCCGCGTTTAATAAGCAAGCACGTTATAACATGATTACGGCCTTCCTGCCTTCCTGCCTTCCTGCTCTGCCTTCTGCCCTTTTTACTCTCGGAAAATACCATCCAAGGGTAACTGGACCCCCCAGACTGGCTCCCCCTGTCTGGGCTTGGGGATTTAAACAAACAAACAAACAAACACGCACACAAATGAGGAGGCTTTATGAGTACAAGAGGCCCCGTGGGAAGCCGGGTCTGGGCCTGGCAGAGGGGAGGGGGCCGGGGAGGAAGGAATTCTGCAGGGACTCCTGGCTTCTTCCTTCTGTTACCATCTTCCCAGGAATACGAGGTTCTCCTGAGAGCCCCTTCCCGGCCTCTCAGCCTCTGTCTCTCCATCTATGAGATCCGTCCACTGCACTTCTGAAAGGTTTGCCGTGGACACCAGCCGCAGCCCAGGTCAGGTACATGCTGTGTTAGTCTCTCGTTGCCTCTGTAACAAGCGCTCACTGGTTTTAGTGGCTTAAAACACCCCCCAGGCTTGGGCTCCCCGTGGAATTCCATCTCCAGCCATCAGCACCGGAAGCGGCCCTCTTCCCTTGGCTTGTGAGCCCACCTCCTTCCTCAATGCCTGCTCTGGCTTTTCCTCTGTCCTCACCTCTCCTTCTCACACTGAACCTCTTACAAGGACACTTGGGATGCTGTTGGACCCGAGTTCAAGCCCCTGGGACTTTTAAAAGTAGGGCTCAACCCCAAGCTTTGGTGTGGGTGGCCCGGTGATCTATTTCCAAAGGCCGGGGTGGGAGGGAGAGAGAGGGAGTGAGAGAGAGTGAAGGGGGGGGGAAGGAAAAGGATAGAGAGAAGGGGAGAGAGAAATAATGAGTCAGTCTTGGCTTCTTCTTGGTTGGGTGAGCGCTCTACAACTTGAGCCACAGCGCCACTTCCAGTTTTCTGGTGGTTTATTGGAGATCAGAGTCTCACAGACTTTTCCTGCCAGGGCTGGCTTTGAACTGGGATCCTCAGATCTCAGCCTCCTGAGTAGCTAGGATTATAGGCATGAGCCACCGGCGCCCAGCTTGGTCTTGGCTTCTTACGGGAGGCAAATGGGCCAGGGGCCCACGGTGTGAGCGGTGTGCAGGCGGTACGGATGCTATGACTTTAATCTGGAAGATCCCGTGTTAGCCAGCCAGGACCCGGGGAGGTTAAACAGTTTACGCAGTCCCTTGCTGGGGCCAGCAGGGGGCGCCGGAGGACCGTGGACCTGCCCCAGCAGAAGCCGGGGAAAGCTAGGGGAAGCCCCTGGGGTTCTTTGGCAGCCAGAGCCAGGCACCCACCAGGCCCGGTGTGGGCACAGAGGGGCGATGGGTTCCTAATTTTGCCCCCGCGGGTTTCCTGCCAAAGAAACTCCGCGGGGACAGGCCGCGTGAGGGCCACTTCTGCCGACATAAATAGATGTCAGTCGCTGAGCCGCTGGACCCTGGCTGGGGGGGGGGGGGGGGCGTCAGTCAAGAGGGCACCGGGAAGGGGCCAGCCGTGGCCACCGGCAGGTGAGGGGTGCCAGGGAGGCAGGGACACGGGCGTGGCTGTGGGAAAAGCCTCAGCCAGGACGTTGAGGAGCCCCAAGCCAAGAGGAGGGAGCAAGAGGAAACCCCCATCTGGGGCAGAGCCGCGGGCCGCTCTCAACTCCCCTCCCCACTGCGGGCACTGTGCGGTCCCGAGCAGGGCCCTGGGTTCTAGGTCACGCTGGGACGTTGTGGTTATCTCAATAGATGTCCTTAATGGAGATTATCCTTATCTTAATTGATACATGAATCTTTATCACCCCTACCCCCTCCCTTTGCCAGTCCGGGGGCTTGAACTCAGGGGCCTGGGTGCTATCCCTGACCTTTTTTTTTTTTTTTTTTTTTGCTCAAGGCTGGTGCTGGACCACTTGAGTTACACCTCCACTTCCCAGCTTTTTGGGCTTAATTGGAGATAAAGAGGTTCATAAACTTTCCTGCCCAAGCTGGCTTCCAGCCCCGATCTTCTGATCTCAGGCTCCCCAGTAGCTGGGATTCCAGGCCAGAGCCGCCAGTGCCTGGTCATTATTATTTTTTTTTTTCTAGCAGGAACCTGCTCAGAGAGGTGAGAGAGAGAGCCCGGGCCCAGGTCACACAGCATTATCTGTTTCTCCCGCTGACTCCGATGCTGAGCCCGTGGAAGACTGTCCCAAGCACTTTAAAACACGGCTTGAATTAATTTTCAGATTAAATGTCCTGTGAGGAAGATAATTCTGCTTTGTTTCCATCTCTAGGGGTAGGAAAGGAGGTGTGTGTGGGCTCAGAAAAGGAAAGAACTCTAGGAAGATCTCTCTAAGTAGCATCACTTGCAACGTTTTAGTTAGAGTGTTACATCATATTCTGTATAACTGATTGGTGTCTTTCTGCAAGCAGAGCTGGAAAGATTGCTCCAGCCCCTACTTTATCCCAAACAACTCAAGAATGTGGACCTGGTGGGGGCCGGTGGCTCATGCCTGTAATCCCAGCTGCTTAGGAAGCTGAGATCTAAGAATCGTGGTTCAAAGCCAGCCACAGCAAGAAAGTCTGTGAAACTCATCTCTAATTAACCACCAAAAAAAGCTAGAAGTGTTGCTGTGACCTAATGGGTAGAGTGTCATCCTTGAGCAAAGAAAGCTCAGGCCCCAAGTTCAAGTCCCAGGACTGTCACAAACAAAACCAAAAAAGAACGTGGACCTATTTACTCTTGTGCATTCTCCTGACATCCAAACGGTTCTTACGCCTGTTTTCTGGATGAGGAGAAAGCGAGGTCCAGAGGGGTTGAAAAGCCACACAGCTGGAAAAGGGCAGAGCTTGGACTTGA